CTCATTTTTGTCAAGAAATGCCCCCTAGCACCTAAACGGTACAAGATAGAGCCAAACGGACGAAATTTTTGTCCAAAGGACTCTACTTCGACGAGTTTCCCCTTAGGAACCAATAAAAAAATATTTGCAAAAAAAAAAAAATTGCGACCTGTAGTTTTTGATTTTTTTAAAAGCCAATTTTTGAGCTAGAATGCTCAACTTCGAACTCGATCTTTCTTTTTATGGTACAAAACGACCCTTAAATTCCCAGATCGCTATCTCAATTCCTTCCCGAGTTATCGTGCGGACAGACAGACAAACAAACAAACAGAATGAAACTTTTCGGGTCAGTGGAGTTATGGGCTTCGCTGATCGCTCAGACAAAAACAGGATAACTTTACAACCCTGCTGTAATTTTGCTGTAATTTTCAGAGCCACCATTATTTCACAGCTGTGTCAATAAATTACAACATTCTTCGTAAAACTACAGCTCCAACCTAAATCGTGGTTTACGGACTGAAGATGCACCTTTAAAATTAAGAAAAGTGTGGTGTAGTGCTTCTGACAAAACCTTGATTGTCGATGATGATGGAAATGAATATAGTGAAGAAATCCTCCAGAAGACCAAAGAAAAATTTGATGAAGAACAGAAGAATGAAGAACAGAAGAAAGAAGAGAAGACTGAGAATGGAGCTGAAAAGAAAATACTTCCTAGAGAAAAAGTAAACGACACTGTCAAGAACATAGTAGTCAAACCAGGTTCAGAAGGTGATATTTTGTACATAACTTTGTCAGTAGGAGAACAACGACTGACATTCGAAATGGACTCAGGTTCTAAAAATACACTAATCTCCGAAGAAACTTTCAATCAACTTGAACCAAAGGTGATGTTGAGCCAGGGTATGGCAACGCCCTAGGGTCGGGATGGACCTATCCTTTGACCACGGCGAAAAAGGGGTAGGGCGCATTCAAACTAAGATTTCTCTGCGAAGGACTGATAGTTTGAAACGATCGAGGTGTCTAAACACAACGTTTTCCCTTGCAGATTCGATATTTTACATGCACGAGTAATAAGAAACAGCCGTTTGTTCGATTTCGACGGATTAAAATCACCCTGCAGACGACCTCAGTCCGCAGCGTCTCCAGTGGTCTGACTTGCATTTCGCTATTCTCTGGAAATACTCTACTCACCTCGACACTGGGGTAATATTACAAGAGTTAAGACCTCGCGACTTTGATCATTCAAAACAAAAGATTAAAAGCCCAGATAATCAAAATTCACACGTCGTTAGAGGTTTTAGTGTTGCGGAGCTCGTCTCAAACAGTTTCGAGAGTCTCGGGTGGGACTAAGCGAGAGTGAATTTCCGAATTATTTACGCTACGAGGGAAAAGGCACCCAGTAGCGAGGCTAGGCCGAGAATCCCGTTCTCCTGCACTTCGTTTATTTAAATCAACTATAATAACTTATGGTTCATATTTCGTCGACCTCGTATTGATATTACGAATCTACAAGGTCTGAACTCTTGTAATATTACCCCAATGTCGCCAACAATGTCTTGACGGA